ACAGGGGTCATTCCGTGAAGGTGGGGAACACCTGGTAATTTGCCTATGGTCTGATGACTTCAAATGGAGTAAATCTCATGGCTTCTCAAATAATTAGCCTGTTAAGTTTACATCATAAAAAGAGCACATAGAGAAGTACATGTACATGTATACACGTATTGTAGAACCATTTTGTTCATATTTGTGGAAAAACTTTTTGCAGCATAAAGCACGAAAAGGAGGTTTATGTAAAACCAGTTTTTTGGTGACAAAATAAATGGGAATTTAAGAAGTGGAGAGAGTGGGTTGAAAGTAAATGTAAACATTGTCATATTTTTTACATGTTCGTATCTACATGTACATGTGTACATGTATATCAAACTTCCCCAGTTCACTGCACCTGGTCTGATATATCCCACAAGGCTCCCTTGATGAAGAGAAAGCATACAGTACATGTACATCACAGTATTTATGACCTCTCCAAAGGTAAAAAAGTCAAAGAGGATGAGAAAGAAAAATAGAAAAATAAAGAAAAAAGTGATAAAAATGAGGGCCCAAGCAAAATCTACATGTATGTTAAATTTACTAAACCTAAAACTGAGGAGAAATGGATAAAAGGAGCATGTTTTTCTCTGTAAAACATGCTGAATGTTACATGTACTGTACGCATGTACGGTATGTTAACTAGGAGTATTATACTTTACAGCAAGTAATGCTTACCGGTAGGTTACTTTTTGTACATGTACATTTGCCAGAATGCTGAAGAGGATGCATCCAGATTGGCCTCAAATATCAAATAGAGGGTCCTTACGTGCATGTTCACATGTATCCATGTACATGGTGTACTTACGCTTGCATGCATGCATACCAGTTAAATTACTGTATATGGAGCAAAATATTTCACAGCACATGGCTTCCCAATCTGCCTTGAGCAGAAGCACGCCCTCACTGGTTGAAAAGAGCCACGTTGGTGGGGAGTATTCATTTTTGGTAACAATGCAACCGCAGTGCATACAAATGTACATTTCATAGTCGTTTGTGAACCAATGAAGTGCAGAACTTAGGAGCCTTGTTTTCTCAGGAAAACTACACTCTCACTTGGTCCAGCCAGCTCAGTGTGGATGATGTTATTAAAAACCCTCAGGGGGTGAGATTGGCCAATGATAAAAATAGCTGAAAACAGCTGAAAAAAGGCATAAAGAAGCTGAACTGTGAAAATCTCCTATACTTTTGTTCACAGCCAGTGAGAAAAAAAAGAAGCTAAAATCCAAAACAAAAAAAAAGCTGAAATCAGCTAAAAAGCTGAGAAATCTCGCCCCTGAACCCTGAATGTAAACTGACCTGCAATTTGCATGCATCAAAAGTAAACTTCTATCACCTCATGAGTGCATAAGATACATGTATTACATGCAAATTGTCAACTGAAATGATACTGTGTGATTTATATCAATTATGCAAGAGTTGATGTCTTGTGATCTACACGTACATTACACCTGCACAGTTTTTCTGTCTCGCAGCCATGCCCAAGCAAAGGTTAAGTTTGCACGTAGTTTTGTACTAGTAGCTACCGTACTGTTGTTAATTTACGATCTCTGCTGATGTCATATGTAACTAAAAGCATGAATATAATGGGGCCTCAAAGTTCACATCTGCACGAACCAGTACATGTATATGCACAGGTCAGTGCCTTCAACAGATAAAAGAAGTCCTACATGTACATGTATGTACGTGTACTTCAAAGTTAAAACAACTTGGTTTTAATATAGGGTTCTTTTTGTATTTAAGCCTTTATGTCTACCCCCCTCCCAGAAATGCCCAAACCATTTAAACAGAGTGATTTTAACCCCTCGGTGAAAACACTACTCAACAAACACTGTCTTCAAGATTCTCAGCATTAGTACAGCACCCTGTTATACATGTACATGTACACACTCCACGTATATCCAAAAGTAAACAGTTTTTGATGGGAAATGTATGCACATGTATATGCCTCAACAATTTTTGGGATCATTTCTAAATAACTTCTTCTGGTAATTGGTTAACCCTAACCCTCCCAAATCTTCCAAAATCCTTTTCTGCAAAGTGGAGGAATGGGGTTAGGGTTAATGAATTTGTTTTACAAAAAGAGTCACATGGTTCAAACTTGAAAAAGTTACACCTACATGTATGCACCCTTCTTGTACATGAACATGAACACGTACGGAACATAAAAACACATAAATGTACAGCTATTAAAAACTCAAAGACATAATCCCCCCCCAAGAAAATCAATTCACAACCATAAACAAAAACGTAGATGAAAAGGAAAACCAAAACCAAACTTTTTAAAATCTTTTCCTTCACACTTCACAAACGAGTAAGAAGCATGGACTTAGAAGAAACTTGCAAATGTCCCACTGAGGCCAGGGCATAGACAACTGTGTACAAATGCACATAACTGCAGTGCTTACGTAATGCACTGGTACACGGTACATGTACACAACTACTTGTTACCAGGTATGACTTATGTGGACCCAAAACAGGTCCACATGGGGCCCCATAATTCTACGGGTTCCAAACGTTTCTACCGTTCCAAACAAATAGGTTTCCTCTTAGCGCAGGGATGGCCTACCCACACATACTGCACTTAACTGTTGACAAGGTGGTAACTATGAACAGATAAATATACTGGTTAGATCATCCAGTCAAATCATATCTGAATCAGTACCAATCTATCAACGCAGTATCACTTGTCTATGATACATCCTCCTTCCAAATGTACAGTATAAATCAAAGCCAGGGCCAATGAACTTTTTGTCCATCACTGGTGTGTATTGCCCTCCCTTGTGCAACATGTACAGGAGTCAATGCCTATTACATGTACATGTAAATCTGTTTGATTTCATAATCTGCTTGTACATGTACATGTACATGTAGGTTGTACAGTGCACCTCTTGGACAACCTGTTCCGGACACCTTGCTAGGGTCAACCATCCGTAAAAAGAAAAAAAAGCTTAACTTGGATACTGTGTTTGCTACCGTACTTCAAGGCAAATGTCAACACCTTGTTTTCAAAACGGGCTAACAAAAACAAACCAAAAAACCCTCCTTGGATCAGGTGCTAACCAATGTACGGTCAGAGAACACCTCTCAATGTGATTTATGCTATACTTTATCCCTTACATGTGTACGTGCATATTTAGATCTGGCTTTTACATTACAATGGCTTCACTGTGAATCAGTTGGAAAGCACTTTTGGTTGGTTTCCCCATCTGCAACATCCCACCAGTGAACTAAAGGGCAATTTTTGCATTGCTGCTCCTGGGGTGCCAATAATAATGACAAGTTGTTAGCCACTGGTACATTGTAATTGTGTTTTGTCTGTGAACTTCAGGCGAAACCCTCATATCAGTAACAAAACTGGCCAGTAACTTATCTAATTGGATGGTCGATCATTTGCAAGATGGGCGGCAAGACGACAACATCCCCTTGCGTTAAGTAAAGGTATGTACATGTACATGAACATAAGAAATACTGTGTGGATCGCAGTGATCATGCGCGTGGAGAACAAAACCTAATCAATGATCGACTTGGCATCAAGTCTCATGCCAACCTGAAGATGCCACACTGCTGTATGATACCGGGATGACACAAATGTGTACAGGGTCCTACATGTCGCTCTAGGGCACCAGCCAGGCGTGTATGCAATAAGCTTGTAAATGGCGCGCGTGGCGCCATGGAGGATTGATGCGACACGTGTATATCGACATAGTACATGTTGAAATTAAAAAACTCTGTTTCATTCACACACAGACCCCTGAATGTTATGCCAAATCAATGATGTCACATACAAATTTACATAAGTAATTTCCAAGAGTAATGAATTAATGCAAATTACCTGCCAAGCAAATGGTAATAGTTTGAAATCAATTCCGGTGATACCTCCATGTCAAATAACAAAGGACAGATGTAATGAGGACACAAAAATGTCACACTTTTGGAACCCTAATTTCTGGAATTACCCATATTTACTCCCTACAATGTAGTTTGATATCCTCCATCAAAATGTCTAATCCCGCCAGTTCCTGCTGTTACAGGAAATTTTACAGGGTACGTGTAAAGAAAGAAAGCTACATGTACATTTATCTGGACTGATCTCTTCCTATAGATGGACATGTGCCCAATCCTTGAAAATGCAATGGTATTATGGGAGATTTGTGCACAGTTGAGGATGTCCAGCTACTAGAACTTCATGTACACTGGACCGGTACAGCTATTACTGTTGCTTGTGCGAGTGGATCTGACAGTCTTTTTACACCATTTGTTTCCTGAACAAGGTGGCACATTTTGGAGGCCAGTGCACCATCTAGCAACCTCAGCTTAAGCACTGACCTGACACAGACAACAGGAATTTGTTGTGCGACATACCAGTAACAAAGAATTCCAGGATATGCCATACATGTAAGACGTACCGTACCTGTCCCAGATTAGTGGGACAGGCGATAACAAAATCCAGTGCAGCAAATGCACTGTGGTTTTTATTCGACACACAATTGGCTCTAGCAGTGTACAGGTACATGTACACTGTACAGGTATCTGCATTTATAAGTACCCTGCTTAAAGAATATTACATGCTTGACACCAGCTTGACAAACTTGGGCTGATTTTCTCCTAAAACAGGGTTTGTCATTTTGTGCACTCTTGCCTGCTACAGTAAACTGCCCCTAGGCTAAGTATTGATGCAGTAGCCATGAAAATACATGAATGTAAATTTGTAACTTTGTAATTAAAGTCCTGCACTGGTTGGGCCCAAAATACTCATGTTTCCTGTTCCCTCACTCACCCAACTAATGGCGTAACCCTAGAGTGATCTTGGGTAAAACTTTTGGGAAAATGTGAAATGTCAGGTCTATTCACTGGAGAGAAAAAACATTCTTTTTTTTCCACAGAAAGCCTGGTTTTAAGGGCTATCCTAACTTTACAAGATGGAAGTGAAAAAGGCAAACTTAAAAAAGAAAAAGAAAAATAAGTAGATCACTCACCCTTTTAATAGTTTTTGTCTGTACGCATGCGATTTCTCCATCGTCCGCATCGCCCCTGTATAGCCTGATTTTAACATATGGGTCACTGAAACAAAACAAAAACAAATCAAAAACAGGTGCAGAAAAGGGCATTGAAAAAAAGTGCATTTATTGTTTATGTTGTTGCAATAAAACATTCCACAGTAGCTGGCTATACATGCACATGTAGTAGACTTCATTCCCACAAGTGTGATGTATTTATGCAAGTATAGGGAAAAGTGTATGATTGAATACAAGTATATACTGTACACATGAGTACTGCAGCACTGTGGGACAAGTTTGAGTGATGATAGTTAAAGCTACTGTGCAGTACAATTGATGTCACTTAAGTGGTGGATGCCTGAACTATCTAGTCCACCATTGTTAAACCAGGGCCCTGGGCTTGGCCACATCACTGGTTATCCACAACCTTATTCATGACTGACTAGAGTGGAAACCTATGACCTGGAAATGATTGCACACGATGACAGAAATGTTCAATGCAGGGAGTGCAGCGACCGAAAACCAAATGCGAATGACAACAAAATTTAGGAAAAAAGAGATTGACAAGGCATATTTGAGTGGGATGATGTTGCACTGCAGGTTAATTTGTAAAAAAGCAATCAACCAATGGTTGAACTACATGGAAGTTATGCTTGGGCTTGCCTGTGGCTGTAGTTAAGTGCCTTTGTACCAGTAAAAGAGATACAGACAAAGCACTAAAGAACGTGCACTGATTGGTTTATGCTGTCGGCTCATAAATCATATTAATCACTTGCATATATGGTATTATTCGTCGTCATACTCGCCTCAGATGAGGTATTATTTTTGACCCCCAAAAAACCACTTTTTAAAATCGACAGGATACCACTAGAAACCAAGGTCCTTTACAAAGCTGGACTTCACAAATGCGGACTAATGGTGGTCATTTGCTCAAGATTTGTGCAGCACTTTTAACAGCATCATCACTTTTTTTTTTGAAACTCCAAGGTTTACAGTGTTGTAGTCGAGACCACATAAGACCTTCACAAGAACAGCACAAGACCAACACAAGACCTCCTGTCTGAATTCAAGTCACAAGCTATTCAAATGAAATGCAACTAAAGCATTCCTTTGTCACTGTTCACCTCACCCTGTACTAGTGAATGGTCTTGTCATGAGTCGTGTGTCTGGTCTTGTGCATGGTCTTATGTCTCGTCTTGAGCATGGTCTTGTGTCTGGTCTTGTGTGTGGTTTTGTGACTGGTCTTGTGTCTGGTCTTATGTCTGATCTTATGTCTGCTCTTGAGGCTGGTCTTGTGCATGGTCTTGTGTCTGGTCTTATGTCTGGTCTTGTGCACTGTCTTGTGTCTGGCCTTGTGTCTGGTCTTGTGTCTAATCTTGTGTCCAGTCTTGTGCACTTTCTTGTGTCTGGTCTTGTGAATGGTCTTGTGCATGGTCTTGTGATTGGTCTTGTGAGTGGTCTTGTGCATGGTTTTGTGTCTGGTCTTATGTCTGGTCTTGTGTCTGGTCTTGTGAATGGTCTTGTGTCTGGTCTTGTGTCTAATCTTGTGTCCAGTCTTGTGCATGGTTTTGAGTCTGGTCTTATGCATGGTCTTGTGCACTGTCTTGTGTCTGGTCTTGTGATGGTCTCAACTACAATACTGAAGATTTGAGTGGCCCATCGTGGGCTCCACACAACTGTGCGAGCCTCAGTGTAGGCCTAGTATAGATGTCACATGATTACACATTTTCCTCACTTTGACACACAGGAAATCCTTGCATGCTTAGACGTCGTCCAGTGAAAAGTGGTTAAGAAATCATTCCTCGTGTAAAACCTGTATGGTATTTGGTTCAAGCCTGCACATGTTCATGTGTAAGGTAGCCTACTGTACATGCGACTGTAACCCACAAGAGCACGAAATGCAAACTTTCAAGATACACACCTAGCACCAAATATGTCCTTCTTGGCCAGAGAAACACCTTGGAGAATTCTCACTTTCAAAATTCTTGAAGTTCCTGGGACTTCACCCTGTACCAAAATTATAAGAAAAAGTAGGGTATACAAACGATCTAGAGTGGAGAAATTTTGCATTTCCAATAATTTTCTACAATGTACAGCATTGTACATGTACGTACAATGAGCATTACCAATGAAGTATATATTTGATCTCAGATTCCAAGAATCCATTATGGTGCTGCAATAGCTCAATTGATATGCACGCTACCTAGCAAGTACATAAATCCAGGTTTGAGCCCTACGATGACGATCAAGTTTGTTTTCATTGTTTTTCGTTCTCTTTTGGAAACATTTTTCTGAAATCAAATCCCATGTTTACTTTCCATAGCAGCTTTTCCTTTTCCAAGCGCGTACATGTATTATGCTGGCATCTGGTTGCATTTTAGTAGTTTTCTTAAATCCACTTAATTCACCCATTGAGACTGGATAAACATGTTGACAGGTGGTTAAGAAAATACTAAGTGCAGCTGAAGACTAGGAGACCACATTTCAAGACACACCATTGGCATTTTGGAGTTATTAACGCTCCCAAAGGTACCATACCTTGAGAACTGTTAGGACTGATGATGAGTGGGACAGATGTCAGCCCCAGCAGTTCTGGGGGTACCCAAAAGGTTGCAAGATTGGCCTTTGTTTTAAATTGATTTCTAAGATCTTGCAATCTGTTATACATGTAGCTACTTCAAGAACTGTGAGGTTTATACAAACCTTACAAACCCTGTATGTACAAACTCGCATAAACACATTTTGGCTGTTTTGATTGTGCCAAATTACTCTGCCATCAAAGCTATTTGTACAGCAAAATTTCACACATGCTTTCTTGGTGAAGTTAGATGTCTGATGGGGAGGTTTATTCACCTTATCTCCTCATTAAAATGGTGAAATTCTTGAGTATTTTGCCCATCCACACTACAGAAAATCAGCTGCATGACAGCTTGACCAATCTTGACCTATCACAGCACAGCTCCTACTTCCTAAATAGTAAGGCACTACTCCGTAGGCTTTACTACACCCCACCTTTTTGATGGTTCCACATGCTATGGCATTTTGAAAGCTACCCAGCAATCATACCAAATGAAACATACACTTGCACTTGCTTAAGCAACTCTTTCCCTAAAGATCCTATAATAATAGCTAACCTGTATGGAACTACCATTCTCGGGTGTATTTTGTAGCGTTTAACCCAGCGCTCGATTTACCCGGTGCATGCATGCACCAGTGCATGTAGATTTTTGCTTGCGTACATAGCTTTTTTACTGAGCACGCACGATGTGCATGTAACTTTTTAACCACCAAAATACTCATTTCCTGCATATATTTAAGCGAGAATAAGAATAAAGTTTGTTGAATTCTTGACCAGATAGTGTACGGACATGTTATTTCTTTCTCCCATTCCTCGCAGCAGATTTATTGCTCGTAGCACTAGCACTGTTTTTAGAGTGGGAAAGCCCTCACTGATTACGCGAGCATCTGACATCACTGTGGCTCTTCACAACTGAATCAATTGTAGGCATCCCTCTGGGACATAATTGGGGCTATCGCAATTGAATCAACTGTGGGTACCCCTCCAGGCAATGTTATTGGTTGCGCACGTGCGCTCTAGCACTAGCTGTCAAACTGGTGAATGCAATGTTGTGATTTGACTGTGATTCTGAATCTGCTGCCTGGGATAAGGATTCAACTAGTGAGGACTCTGAGTTTTAGTACTGGAGGCTTAGCAGCAATTGTACAAAGGGGTAAGTTAATACTTAAACCTTAATTCTGATAATTTTTTAAGTAAACACAAGAGAGAATGACGCTCACATCTAACCAAGTACGGTTCTCACAAGCTTTCTTTATTATATCAAACATACTTAAATGCTCACCTAACCTTATCTTTGGCTTATAATCCTTAAATTGCTATACACAGAAATATGCACTACCGGTAATTACATGTACTTGTGATGTAGGTTTTTCCTGGTGCAAGTACATGCCACTTTTTTTTTATAAATCAAGCCCTGGTTTAACCTACATTATTGGAAAAAAATGTGAGTTTTTCTACCAATCCCATCCTCACCTCTCATCCCTCAATGATCTGCATTCTCTTGTGACCGTACGTCACGTGACAAAAACAGATGCTGTGTATTTGCATAATGAACATTTATGATGCTTTGGATACCAGATACCTGATAAGGTTATGTATACAGACGTCTGAGAAATCAGTGGTCAGGGAACCACTAATCACATATCGGCTCGACCTTTTGCAATAAATAAATCCCCGAATTACATGGAAAACAAGACACTTTATTAGTCTCACAACTTCACAACCATATCTTCACAAAATATTATCACTCCCTGAAGTACATATTTCTCAAACATTTTAAACGTATGTAAACAGCTACAGTGGCTTGACAACGCAGCGTGTATCGTGTGCAATAACATAGCCACCCCCCCCGCTTCCAAAATTAATTTATAGGGTGTTTAGGGGAAGATTTGCTTAAGGCAAATCTGGTAAGCTACTGGGCAGCTTTCAGAATGACATAGTGTGTGGAACCATCAAAAAAGGTGGAGCGCAGTAGGGTCTTCAGAGTAGGCCTACTGCCTCGGCCTTACTGTCATGACTGTTCAGGAAGTACACCATCAGGTACACAGCTCCTATCTTTTCCATCTTGTTTTCCTGTCACCCACAATGAAAGCCACACTGTGACTGGCTCAATTTATTCCATTCCAATGACCAATCATAGCTCAACTTTCATTTTGTACACTCTGTTAGTTACACCCTTTTCAAGTAGGCAGTTCTGCTACTGGCTTAGGGCCTAGGCCTACCACAAGTTAGGCCCAAGCCCTACTCAAGATTGCTCGTACGGAAAAATTTGATCCAAAAAGTGGAGTTTAAGCTACCTGCAAGACCAATCACTCACCGAAATTTCGGGAAGTCCTAGAATTGTTGCCATAAACTGCTCTTGTTGTTTCACGGGATCAGCTGCAAAAATCAGTCGAAATGCCGTCAATATCAACCAATCTCGACCATCTAATTTGTAACAGCACACAATATGCACAAACAACCGGTTACAGGAACTGGTTCCCCGCGAATCGTTCACATTTTGCATATAGTTTACCAGCGCAGTTAGCCACACTTTGGGAGTTGACCTCAAACTCGCGATATCACGGGGCATTTCGTGCACAGTGTGTGCACGCTTTTTTGGCGTTGGTGGCGTCTGGGTGCCTGACGTGTTCTGACGTCATTAGGAAAAAATTCTCCATGGTAAAATGTAGTCATGGTTTGTCGTGACATGCAGTAATTTTCTGCTTTTTCGATCATGCCAATCACAGACCATTTTAATAGCTGTTAAAGCATAGACCTTTAAAAATAAGTGACCTCCATTATAAAGACTTTAGAATGGAGACCAATGGGTTAAATTAACTCGCAACGGATGTCAAGCCTGCTTACAAAGAGATTCACAATTAATTGTTGAGGGGAAGGAGAATCATTTTTGGACGACAAAAATAGGGAATTTCTTAATGCATCATTTGTAGTCTGAAAGGTAAAGCTGATTAAATTTTGGGATGTTTCACACGCACTGGAAAGGGAAAATGAAATACCCCTTAAAAACTTCCTTTTATTTCATCATATTTAAAAACACTGTCAAAATTGCCCGGCGGGGGGTGGCTCCCGTACTTTGACCGCGCCCTCGGTTCCGCTGGTGGACGGAGTGTCGTAGGCTCAAGACACTGGATCAACTCCAATCATTTTAATTTGTACAGAGAACTGCTTTCACTCCATCTTCGAATACGAGTGTTTACGGACATCCCTTTCAAGTTCAAAACATTTTTCATTTTCGGGCGACTGTGGGCAAAGGAAGAGACAGTATTCTCTTTCTTTATGTATGAGACTAATGACAAGATCCTAGACGAAACAGACGTGAGATTAGCAGGTGTGCTGGTGTAGGTGTTCGGTAACCACCCAGCGCCCGGAACAGAGCGCTGCCGGGGAAAGGCTGATGGCTGAGGGCATTGTGGATGAAACTTCTGCCAGGCGCGCGTTACATAAGCGGTGGTCAATTCAATTTTTTCTTCCTAATTGCTGAAACATTTTCACTACACTTTATTCTTTCATCCAAAATTGATCAAGATAACCACTAATTTGAAATATAACGCCAAAAGAGACGTGATTAGTGATAATTAGTGAGAACATAAATTACCACTCTGTTGGTTGTACCAAGGCCATATTTTTATCATAAAGCCGATACTTTTCCCGTGTTAAAGCATTTCTATTAGCGAACCAACAAAATTACGCAAAGTTTTCAATTTCTCAATTTCCAATATCCTTTCCCTGCATTATGGTCCCTGCAGTACCGGCCCTCACTTTATGCTGCATTTTCTAAGGCAATATGAGGCGGTGATCTCTTAAACAAATCAAAACCAAAGTGCAGACTTGTACCACACTTCTTTGTCCCACGAGGCCGGAAATGTGCTGAGACAAAAAGTCCCCGCCCTTAATTAATTCTAGACGTACCTGTAATTGTAATGTGCTCTTCGTGATAACGCTTTCCTTGCCAATGGCGGCATATAGGCCTGTACCGACAGGTTTGAAATTTAGACGGTGAATTAATGCGGGATATCCAGACTCTCTTTTTTCACGTTCATTAACCCTGATCCATCCTGTTTTTGAGAAAAAAAAAGAGAGGGCTATTTGGGGTTCCCCGAGGTCACCTTCCTCCCTGCTAAACATCATCTTCATAGTCTTGGGTCAAGACGTTGCTGTAAATGTATGCTATAAGCAGCCGCCGCGAGAGGGCGGTATCTCAACGAACAGGCTCTTAACTGATTTCCCCGTCGTCACCTCTGCTGTTCCCCCAACACTGAACGCCTATGAGCTTAAAGCTTGAAGTACTGCCCATGTATGATCCATTTTCCAATTTATTTATTGGATATATCGAACTCACAAAATTTGGGATATTGTAGAATCGTCCTTTTCAGGAAATAGTGCTGATTCACCACCGCTCATGTGATACGCATACGACGACTGGCAAGCCATACATTATCAGGACATTGTGACGGACAGCTAAAACCCGTTGCTGAAACTGAATTCCTACGTTAAAGAACACAAAGTGTGATCACCGGCAGAGGGGCTAATGGGAGTAAGCGGTGTTCTATGAACCGTGATTCTCGTCCCTCATGCCTCCCATATTGAAGGGATGATTTTTTTGTTATGTTTATTTAATTAAATTAAGCATAAGATAGTATAATTTCTAGCATATTATGATAATTTGATTTCGCAAAATGTACTCAATCGACTCAGTAGTAATCTCTACAAATTCTCCGTATTAAATATCAACCAACTTAAAACTCAACTTTAACGTTTAGTCTGCGTTGATAGCGAAATTTGTCTCTTTGTGAAAACGACGGTCACTGTTTATCTGTCCACTTTGGTAGCCAATGAGTCTGTATTTCTTACGCTGAAAAAAAAAGCGTGACAGATCACACCCGGCAAGATCCAAGCCAACCAGGCATTTGGTAGCAAATCCGGGACCACTAACACGAGGCAAGAGCACAGGCTCAACTCCTTCCACATGCGGTATGCCTCAAGCGCATCCTCGGAATCAGCTTACAGAACCAATATCCTGCAGCGCACGGTGCACTACCTACGCAGCCGACGCCACCTTCGATATGGCCGAGACACAGTCCGACGTACTATGGAAGATCATGTGAGGCTACCAAAGGATATCCTGCACGGGCACCTAGCCACGAGCACCAGACGAGTGGGTTGCCAGCTCACTTTGATTCATGGACACCATCAAGACAGACCTGAAAACCTGCAATATCTCTCCAGACATCAGCTGGGAGATACTACAGGTCGAGAACCTGAGATGCCCGACGTCAGATCGTCCGCAAGGGCACCACAGATGCAAACACGATGAGAAGTCAGCGGATGGAGCTAAGCTGGACTGAAAAAGGCGTGCTGCAGCGGTTTTTTTTGTAAACCAGGCTTCTCTGGACGTCCGCACAAGATGAAGTAGGGACTACCACTCACAGACTGAGATACTTTACAGAATTTAAGTATTAAAAAGAAAATACATTTTGATGAGGAACGAACGTGGACAACATCAAGGTCCCCTTTTGGCTTTGTCAGATCATTTTTTTTCTCTTTTTTTTTTACCACATACCTATCTTCTCCGAGCGGAAGAAAAGAGGGCATGTTTTTTTGGAACTCACCACACAGGCGTGCCACGAGGTCCGGTATCCCGTTCGTAAGTGACTTCGTCACAAAGGCAGGAGCGCCACAATTTGCAGGCTCTCATTGGACAATCGCTGAAGGTGCGCGTTAACTTCCGGTTCCATGGAAACCGGCGGTCAATGCATGTAACCCTATGTGCAGTGCACGTGTGCAGTGGACGTGGTTTAAACTGAAGTGACGTCACACTTACGAACCGGATTCCGGTCTTGCGGACACGCTGAACGCGTGCAAGAACTCACTTATTACCACCTGTCTTTCTTTTCGCTGATTGGGGGTGCACTTCAGCTCGGGGCGGATACTGTACAGACTGCCGACAAGTGAACATATTCGCATTTGCGTGACAGTACGTGTTTCAGTCTCGAATGAATTTACCTGTAAAACGCCGAATTAAATTTGCTTGTTGTGTGCCTAATGCTCACTACGGACATCTGTGAGTGTCGAGAATAAGAGAACACAGAAATCTGCAATTTAGAAAGGACGGTGATCACCAAAATGCGCCTGACGTACGTAATGCATCGCATTGTGTATCGCCTATGTCTTCGCCGGAAGCACAGCCGGTGGCTGAAGGATATACTTTTTGTGGCATTTCTTGCAGAGAAGTTTCTTTAAACATAAAGTATTTTTCCGCTTTTTAAAGGATTTTTATCATGATGGTGGTATTGGAAGGAACGACCCATAGGCACAAGAAGTTGCAAGATAGATGAGACGAAAGGTGGGCTGACGACGCATCAAGACACGACGCGACACCACAGCGAATACCCGTTGTCGCTTGTTGAGCGGCGTGGCGACACTACGAAACTACACTGGAGACATTGTAAATAGTTCGTTTTGATCCTATTCATCAGCATCTGTAACCAGTGACTAGGATTTTACTAGTGGAGGGGGGGGGGCACCAGCATCTTGGGAGGGGGGTACCGGCTTTCAGAGGTGTTGCTTTTGGGGCAAGCTTTTGTTAGCCTTGTTCAATATCCATTCATCCTTTTTTTGGGGGGGGGCACCTGGGGGCACTGGCAATTTTTTTTTGGGGGGGGGCCCATACTTGTTCATCAAATTCCAGAAAGAAATATGCCAACCGATACTGGTATTCCATTTTGTCCTCTCAATTTCACCTTGAAATTAAGAAATACTGGACAGCGCTGTGGATAACCAACTGTTTATTAAATGTATTGTTAGGGGGCAATTACCACTTGGTTTAAGT